TAGCAAATGTTTTTTTTTAAATTTCAATTGTCAAATATTGTCATGCACGACGAAAAGAAAATACAATATAACTCAACTTAAAAATTATTTTACAAAATATATAGCTATATTATAAACCGCAATGTTAGATATCATATAATACTAAGGAAGAAAAAACAAGAAAATACAATGTAAAATTCGTTAAAAACTAAAATAATATAACTCAGTTATTAGGTATATCGATACCTAGGTAGTGTTTGTAATTTGTGCGGAATTAAATAAAATTATTCAATTAATGAATATTAGACAATTTAATACAAGATTTCTAAGTTTTCGTACCTTCAACAGAAAAAAAAGGTGGGCAAGTGGGTGTCGCTCTGCTGTACAGTAGGTTACAAGTGGGTCACTGTATAATGGATGGTATTAAATTTGAATTCAATGATATAATATCATTGTATAAGAAAAACGATTCTGAGCGGTGATGGTATGTCAGTCTATGTATAAGGCATATTATATACATATCTATGGTATTAAACAAAAAATTGACCTATAATAGGTACCTATAATAAATTCCAAATTAATCATATCACAATATCCATTAGATACTTATAACGCGTTATACATCAACAAAAACCGTGATACTATCATAGATATATAATAGTACACTTTAGAAGTTTCAAGTACCCACGAATAGTATTATTCAATCACAACAAAATAACTAAAATCGTAATTCTTGGTTTAAATATGAAATTTTGTCTAAATTTGAAATTAAAATGTCTGTAAAAAATAAGTGTGTTTATATATTTTTTAGATTTTTTGGTTACAGTATGAATTATTTAAGAGAATCTTTGTTTTAAATTTTCAACTCTTAGTTATAAAAACTGAACATTTTATAATTTTTTAATTCCAACGATTGATAATTTTTGAGATTTTGATAAATTTTGTCAAAATTCCAACTTTAAATGCTTATAAAAAAAAATCGTGCCTATGTATTTTTCAACTGATATTGTAACAATATATCAGGAGCCTTGTATTAAATTTTTACACTTTTTGGCCCAACAGATAAAACTTTATTGATATTTATAGAAAAAAAAACTAAAAAAAATTGAAAGCTGTAAATGTCCATAAACAGCTCAAAAAGAGTCAAAATATTTTCAAAATTGTATGGTGTATATGAAATGCTAATATAAACATTCAGTGAAATTTTCATGTATCTACAGTTATTCGTTTTTGAATTACAACAAAATAAGGAAATCGCTACATGAGAAATCGAGTGAAAATCCAATGTTGTAAAAATTTGAATTTCAAACGCTCATAAAAATTTAATTTGACTGTCCGGTAGAGATTTTTTTATTGATAAAGGTAGATAATCTTATAAGGAATCTTGTGTTTCATTTTCAAATCTTAGATTTAAAAAGAAAAATTTTTACGAATTCTTAACTCAAAATAATTTGCTAATTTTCGTGATTTTTCCATATTTTGTCAATTTTTGAACTTTAAATGCTCATAAAAAAAAATTGTGACTAAGGATTTTTAATATTTTTCATCTGCCTTTGAAACAACGTATTAGGAGCCTTCTATTAAATTTTCAAGCTTTCGCAACCAACAAATAAAATTTTATTGATATTTCTAGAAAAAAAACTAAAAAAAAATGAAAAATGAAAATGTCCCTAAAGAGTTCAAAATAAATCAAAATATTTTGAAAATGTTATCGTGTATAGAAAATGCAAATATAAACAACCAGTGAAAATTTCATGTATCTACGGTCATTTGTTTTAAAGTTACACCAATAACCAAATTCGATTTTTTGGAAAATCGATTTTGCGTAAAAATTCCCGTTTTTCCTTAATTTTTATGTTGTTTTTCCCGGCGCTTGTGAAAACTACTGGGAAATGTTTACTTTTGACCCCCCAAAGTACCAACTAGATTCACTTTCCTATCAGAAAAGGTACTATTGAAGAAAATTGAAGCACTTTTACTGTCCCAAAACGTGATGACAGACACAAAAATATAAAAATATAAAAATATAAAAATATAAAAAAAAACATACATCATTGTAAAACCAATACATTCATCGCTCCGCTCAGAATCTAAAAGCTTATCGGAAAAATTTCTCATGTAGCGGTATTGATATGTTATTGTAATTCAAAAACAAACAATTATAGATAAATGAAAATTTTACTGAATGTTTATAATTTCATTTTCTATATACCATAGAATTTTAAAAATATTTAGTCTTTTTTAGGGTTCCGTACGTTTCCCTACGGAAGCCTATTACTTTCGCTCGGCTGTCCGTCCGTCAATAGGTCTGTCGCCAGGCTGTATCTAATGAACCATGAAAGTTAGAAAGTTGAAATTTTCACAGATTATGTATTTCCGTGGATGCTATAACAACAAATACTAAAAAAAAGGGAAAGGAGCAACCCGGGGGGGTGCTAAAACGGGTATTTTGAGATTTCAGATGGAAATTTTTGTTTATAAATAGTTGCCATGAGTGACGTCGTATAAAAGGATTCGTTCTATAAATTTCAATACAGAATTATAGTGAATCGTTTTAAGTCGTTGCCATGGGGACGAAAAAACAATAAACTACATAATTTTTTTTACTGTTTTTATAGATAATGGTACGCAACCCTTCGTGCGCGAGTCCGACTCGTACTTGGCCGGCTTTTTTTATATTAATATTATAATATTATAATTTTTTATTCGTTGCTATGGTGATAAATAAATAAAGCGTTAGAAATTAAAATCCAATTTTTAGAGGTTTTTCGTAATTTGAAGGTAGTTTTTCTCATGGCATAAAATAACTATTGAGAAAATCGAAAAAAGACCTCTTTAAAGTACTACCTTGATCCGATTTTTTAACACATAAGGTACTATATATTAAAATCGAAGCATTGCTTCTGGTAAAAATTTTGTATACAGAAAAAAAAAAAATTAAAAATTAAAACAAATAAACACCTCAGAACCTAAAAATAATTTTTTAAAAATGTGGCCCTTGAGGAAGACCCAATAATTTTTCAAAAAAATATGAAAACAAAAATACAAATATAACGTATAAAACGTGTTTTTCCTAGAGATGTAAGCTCGGTAAAATTAAAAATTATTTTTTACAGTTAGACATTTTTTTACCAAAAAAAATTAGCTTGTGGCACCTCAAATTAAACGGCTTCACGGGGCCAATAATCATCAGTCATAACATATTAATAAAATGGAATAGTTTATATTATAAAATGTAAAACGTCCATAACCACTGATAGTGCAGTACCTATACTACATAATATTAAACATACGAATACACCATAAGAATATCTGATACTGTCAATTATTATCGCAATTAATATAAATTTGATTTTATCATAGTTATAGATAATAAACCACGTTTCAAATATTAGTAATGTTAAACTTTTCAAGGCTTTGGGACCCCGGTTAAACTTCTCTGATTATTTATAAAATATGCTCTATACATAATTTGTATTACCTAGCTAATCTGATAGCTCGCGACAATAAAAGTTTTAGTGATGGCGAATTTGTAAAAAAATGTATCTTGGCAAGTGTAAAAGAAATTATTCCGGAAAAAATGTCTGTATTCGACATTATCAGTTTGTCTCGAAATACTATTACTAGGCGGGTAGAAGACATTGGAGGTGATTTAATGACGCAGTTACAAATAAAATCGAAAACGTTTACATTTTTTTCTTTAGCTTTGGACGAAAGCACTGATGTAGTGATGTGTTAGATACAGATACTGCACAATTATTAATATTTATACGAGGAATAGATAGGTACAGAATTACGTAAAATGTTCAGAAAGATCTCGTTTGACTGATGAACACTCCTTATTAAGAATTGACGTTACACATTTCATTCCGAATATTGAAAGATTTGTTAAAAAAAAACAAGCCCAAATTTCACACTAATTTATTTCTATTAATATTCTAAAATGTATTATATACTTTAATTATTTAATTATTTATTTATTTGTAGGTAGCATGTTTTACATTTACACTAATTTATTTCTATTAATATTCTAAAATCCAATGAATTTTTTTTTTCTATAAAAATTAAAAATTGTAAAATATTTTATATTCTTAAAAACTTAATAAAATAAATTTTTTTACACCTATATAAATTTCTAATTTTTATAAAATGGTCACGGGTCGGTTGGAACACGTTCGCGGGCCGGATTCGGCCCGCGGGCTGCGGGTTGGGCACGCCTGGTCTATACTCTATGTCTATAGTCTATAATTTTAATGCACCGTAATAGCAAATAATTAAGGGGATTCGATACCGTGATTTTCTGTTTTTGTCTAACACACGCGTGACATAGTATTTTACATACAATTAGACATAACATTCCAATTGATCTATTGAAGCGATAAGATTTCTGAAAACAGATTTTAATTTGTCGTCAAGTCTACTTGAAATCGACTTTCCCACATTTTTGATTTTTTGATTTAAACTTCTCCAAAAATTGAAATAACAGAATTTTTAAATACTCTTTTTGAATATGACATTTAAAAAAATTTAGGGGATAATATCAAAAATGTGGGAAAGTCGATTTCAAGTAGACTTGACGACAAATTCAAATCTGTTTTCAGAATTCGTATCGCTTCATTAGATCAATTGGTATGTTTGGCAAAAAACACATCTAAAATACTATGTCGCGCGTGTGTTAGACAAAAACGGAAAATCACGGTATCGAATCCCCTTAATATAACCGGCCTTCGAGTAATGTGGCGGTGCCTAGCGGTATTCATGTTAACTAAATCTGTGCCGTCAAAAATTGTGCCACTTTTTTCGCCGAGTGTTATCACCTTCTCTTCTCTACGTCGTGTATCAGAGTTTAGATTTTGTATTTTTATCATAGAATCAGATTATCAGAATAAAATGTCACAGTTTATTATACAACGCGACCAGTGACCGTCATTGTATTTTGTCGTTCTCTTGTGTACCTGTTGTGTTTTTACCTACCTATACTTATTTCAGTTTTTGACTAGTGATATTTAAAATATTTAAGTATGAAGCGGTTTTTGGCTCGAACATCTATGAATAATATAAATGATTCTAAAATATCCAAAAGTGTTTCAACTTCATCTGATTTAGCGGAATTGGCTGTAGACGACGCCGGTCATTTTGACAAAGCTCGTGCACCACCGACAGAAATTGATGGTATTGAGCAAATAAAACATACTATAAATTTATCTGATCATTATTTATTTGACGGTAAATTTTATGATATCGTGTCAAACATCGGAACAAAACTAACTGCAAAATGTGTACTCTCCTCAAAACCCATACAAAGCCAAAATAATTCGTCAGGAAATTTTCTAAGTTATATAAAGGTTAGTTTTTGAACTTTTTTTAATTTTTCTTAGTATTATTTTTGGTACTTTAGGTATGTAGGTAATTCTTCATATTTTAAAATTAATGATCGAATGATGCATAAATTACATTTTATAAGAAGATTCTAGAACTTTTTACAAAAATATATTCCATAATAGGTACTAGATACTTAAAAATTGTAGTAACTTACCCAATGATGGAAACTGATTTGCTGAATTATAAAAGTAGGAAGAAACCTATATAGTATTTTTGTACTATAAATAATCATGGTTGCAGAGTTTTTGGAGAGGTATATAGAATTAGGTATTTTTATTTTGTTTTTTTGTAGAATAAATGCATATTTGTAGCACTTTGTCATGTGAAAATGACTAATACTATTTTTTTTCTTTTAATCAGCATACTATAATAATTAGGTATAATTTTTCATTTTGTGAACAAAATTTTAAATTTATAAGTATTATATTTTGTAGGTATTATAATATTATATAAGAAATTAGTGTAAAACCTTAGTAAATAACAATATAAAATATTTATTATGTAGGAAGGTAAGTATGTATGTGTGTATAAAAAAAAAAAATATAATAAATATGCCTGTTGCCCGTTGGCAGTACTTATACAGTTATACCCTATATTTTAACTAAGGTAGTCACACATATTTTAATATTGCTGAAGTTATAAATAAAATTACAAAAATATTCAACATCAATAATTTTAAAATTTCTCATTGTGTGACCGATAATGTATCAAATTTTGGTAAAGCCTTTAGGACATTTTCAATTCAGCCACAAGCAAATTCCTCCAACTCAAATGATTTAATAAATAACTGGTTTTGTAGTGATAACGATGAATTAAATAGTGTAGAAAATAATTTGGAGGTTGATGATACTAGTGCAAATGTTGATGTTATTGAATTGTCGATAATACTTTCAAATTCAAATGAAATTAATCCAATGAAAATTTCATGTATATAAGTTCATTTTTTTTAGAGTTACGCCAAAAACCAAAATCGATTTTCTCGAAAACAGATTTTGCTTAAAAATGTCCGTCTTTACGTAATTTTTATGTTGTTTTTCACGTCACTTTTGAAAACTATTGAGAATTTTTAAATATGATTCTAACGACATCTTGCTGTCATCTGACATTTGACTTTTGAGAATTGAATGAACATTGGTCCATTGATGATACACTATTTTGGCTGTACAATGTTTATAACAACATAATTTTACCATAGAATAACGTCATATTTTATGATACAGCCATAATAAAATACAGAATTCTGTAGTTACCATAGATAATAATGTAATTATTTTGGTTGTACGATATTTTAGATTATACCTAGATAGCCTAATAATTTAAATGATAATGTCTAATACATGCACGAAAATTACTATTTTGTTTATAAATTATATATTTCAATGATATTCTGGTGGTGCAAAAACATACCTTCAAAGTGTACATTTAATCTACATCTAAAATGTGGTGGTGCAATTGCTGAATTTGCACCACCCAGTTTACGCCACTGGTTGGAGAAAGAGGGTTATTATAATATATATGATACAATTATTATAATTATAAAATTTAAAAGATACAGAGTGTAGGTTCAAAATAAATAAACATATTAGTCTAAAATACACTAATAAAACCTCATAGATTAATATTAATTACAAAGCTTAGAATATAAAATAAAATTACAGCAACTCATTATTTAACTACAGAAATAAATATTTATATAGGTACCTAGCCTTTAATATTAATTATAGGTGCAACTAGGAACAAATTATGGAATGAAATAATATAAAATATTGAATGTAAATTATCAGAAAAGTATAACATTCGAAAATATATTAAAATCAAAGTATTCAACCGGAAAAGTTTTTTGTATAAACCATAATTAATTAGATAAAATAGGTAGGTACCTAATTACTGAAACAAATTTTAGAATAAATATTGTTTATTAGAAAATATATAGGTAATTATCAAAAATACTTAAGTTTAAATATTTTTTGTTAAAAAATTAAATTTCCGAAAAATATTTAAGCTTATATAGATTTTCTGATAAAACATTTATTTAGCCTTAACTTATAACAGAAAAATAGTTCGTTCGAAAATAGTTTAATAGAAGAGTATTTTGTTAGAATAACTTTTTAGGTATATTGTATTGATGATATTAATCCTTTCATCCCCAAGTATTTTTTTTTTAAATTCAAAAGGCATAGAATTGAAAAACGTTGGTCCGAGATAATCTACAAAACATTGACAAAAAAGATTTATTTGCATAATTAACAGCAAATCATATTTCCTCAATTCTCTTTTATTGCTTAACTATTTAAGATAATTATCTAAGTTAAATTTCTTAAGCAAGTACAATGTACATAATATCAATTTTTTTATACAAAAACCTTATTGGCAATACACCAAGTTCCTTCTAGAGTGAATTTATTTAAGCAAATTCTGACTATATTATTTTGATTAACTACTACCTAGTGCATTTAATATGTTATCCCGTAGGCCACCCCATACCATTGACCATATTGGAAATTTGATTGATATAGTTCAAAATATACTATTTTCATTGTTTGTTTAGGTACCATGTTTTTGACTTTAACCAATGTTAATACCATTTTAAGTTGTTATCAAAGATTATTAAGATTTATTAAGATTATAAAGACACCTTATTAAAAGAAACATTATTGGGAACATTACTATTCTCTGAATTGATTGGTTTTTTATATTATTCAGAATATTTATAAAAAAATTATTAAACATACTAGATGCTGTTATTGGATCATTTTTCAAATTTACTTCATAGGTACTCATTATTTTTTTTTTGACAATGTCATCTTTAAACCTCAATTTAAAACCTGTAACTTCGTTTATTAGATTCCATGTCGATTTTGGATTAGAACTAGCATTTTTAAATTTTTGTTTATAAAAATTATTTTTAGCTAGCCTTATAGTTTTTGTGAGATTATTCTTGTATTTTTTATAATGCAAAGCTAACGTTAAATTATTTCGAAGTTTTTTTGCATTTCATGTTAATAGAAGAAAAAACTAAAAAAATTAAAATTTTAAATGGTCCGTAAAAAGCTCAAAAAGAGTCAAATTATTTTCAAAATTGTACGGTGTATATAAATTGCTAATATAAACATTCAGTGAAAAATTCAAGTATTTATAATCACTCGTTTTATAATTAGAACAAAAGAAGAAAATCGTTAAATGAGAAATCGAGTGAATATCAAATGATGTTTTAGGAAATTTTAGGAAAATCCAACAGAAAAGTAGAAAATTTAAATGTCAAAACATACAATAGTGACGCCGTCTGTCCAGAAAAAATTAACTAAATAATAAAAAAATTAGTTTCAGATTAAAATAACAATAGTGTATTGTATTGTATTGTGCTTGCAAATTGGTTACGGGCATGTTTGTTTATTTGTATTATTATTTTTTGTCAATATACAAAAACAGCCGTTCTCGACTGATGATGTAACATACATTTTTCATGCTCCATTTTTATATATGTAGATGAATTTTCCTGTATAGATTATACCTTTGGAAAGAGGATAGGCTAATTTAAAAAGATTTAAATTTGTTTTTTTTTTTATTCATCGGATTTTAGTACGGTTAGGTAGGTTAGGATTTTGTATTAATTGATCCCAGGCAACAGAAGAGTTAAGATAAATTTTGAATACCATACACCGAATATTAAATAACGAATTGAACAAAGTTTGAGTCATATAGAGTTGGTACATTTAACGGGAAACAAAGTGCACGGGATCAGCTAGTTTCAAAACAAAGATTAAATACTATTAATATTAAAAAATATTTTTATGTAGCCCCTTCCCCCCAAAAACAAAAATCCTGGATGAGCCCCTTTTTCTTATGGTGTACATATGAAACTTATTATTATTATTTTTTTTTTCAGCACAAGGAATATCCAAAGAGTTCGTATAGTGGTTAAATTCAAAGACCTCATCATAACGTGGATTTAAAAAAAAATCGCATCAAAATAGCGGCTGATCAAACATCATTCGTGAGTATTCTATATCATGTTTCATTTATTTAGAATTATCTATAATACACAATATGGTCATTGATCTTATACAATTAAACTAAAATAATTGCTTTTATTCCTAGGCCAGTTTAATAACAACGGTAATTCCAGGCTGGTGGCTTACGTGACCATTGATGATAATAATTGGCAGATACGGTGACTTTCGGAATTTTCCCAAACAATTTTGTTGTTGATATAGACAAATATTTGTCTCAAACATTGGTCGAGAATTCTAATCGAGGTTGATCGTCACTATCATCAATGGATTTACATACAGACTATGACAGATTTTCGACTTAATTTGGATAATTGATGAGTTACCGACGTTTCTTGACCTGTAATATTTAATTCATGAATTTGTTACCCAGACCGGAGATATTATAACATCGTATAACGATATTGATCCGTATTTACAAACGACTGATGAAGTGCAAATATCATCGAGGACAACACAGCTACGAAGTGCAGGGGACACTATTATAATATCAGATGACAAAATGGATCCCATGGATGACCAATGATTGATGAAGAGCAGAAAAAGACAGCACCTGCAGAACCGCCTCCAACTGTGGTGCTTTTAATAGAGACACCACAACTGGAAGGCAGAGTTCTTGACATGCCCCACAAGTACCTACAACACGCATAGGGTGTGTTATAAAAAAAAATATCAGATTTCATAAGTAAAGACATTAACCTACTCAGAGTTAATATACCAATTAAAAAGGTTCCAAACTATCCTCTAATGAAGCACTACAGAACCAGAAAGGCTCGTTCCAAAAAGCTGTAACATCTACCACATTATCAAGCGCCGTGTGTACCACTTCAACAATGGGATGTGTAAAAGATATGTCCCATCAACAATAAGACTTATTTGGTTATTATGATCGGAAAATCCTGAAACTTAAACTTTAATATAATTTAAATATGTATATACCTACTAGGAAAAATATAAACAGTTGATCCAAAAATCACTTATCACTCTAAATATTTTCCTGGCAAATCAAAATATCTTAATGTAGTTTTTTAAATATATACTTTTATATTATCATAATGTTCCTATAAATTATTATAGATTTCTGTTGATAAAACTACATTTAAATTTACATTTGATTCATCACAGAGATAAAATGGGTGATACTGATATGGGATATTATGGACTATAATAATATAATAATAATACGTGTACAATTATTATTTATTACTGTCGAAGTTTGCATTTTGTTTAATTAGTCAGTACCTATGTTATGTGTTTGAAGTAAACTCATTTTTAAAATTAACCCCTGAATTAGGTCACATAACATTATTTTTCCACCCATGACTAAATATTAACTATTTATGAATTAATAATTGTTGATGTCTACGCTGTCGAGCTCTTGCGAACAGTTGACCCGACAATTCGCACCGTACAACGGTTGTTACCACTTGTAATATTAATAAATATAAAGGAATAATAATATTATGTGAGAATTGTTGCTAAACAACACTGTATTGATCGTAGCAAATAATAATAATAATAATAATCCCACCAAAAACATATATGTAAAATGAGAGCCAAGTTCAATACTATAATATATGCCTTGGTTGTTGACTTCAACGACAAAAGAAGTGAGATCTAAATGGGTGCCAAGTTAGGATAATATATTGAAGCCTAAGGTGTGACTTGGCTACTTTTCATATACGAATTATTATTATAAGTACCTACTAAAACAGTAATGGAAGAGTGAAGATGATTTTCCGAAGAATAAAATAAAAACTCAAAGCTTTAGAACTTGCAAATGCTATAATATATAATTCGTAGCCAAGTCAGACCTTAGGCTTCAATATATTATCCTAACTTGGCACCCATTTAGATCTCACTTCTTTTGTCGTTGAAGTCAACAACCAAGGCATATATTATAGTATTGAACTTGGCTCTCATTTTACATATATGTTTTTGGTGGGATATCATTACTTTTTGTATGTAAATTATTATAACCTAACCTAACCTAGCCATGACGTATTCTATAAATAAAGTTTATTACTATATAATATAATTCAGTTACTAATATTAATAATAATATTTATTATAAAATATTTTCCGTTGTATATACAGAGTATAAAATATATGTAAAATTAATATACAATTATTTTAACTCTTTTTGAGTATATTTTTAATTATCATAATTTTATTGACTGTAGTTTCTACTGTTGGGTGGGTAATTCATAATTTGTAAGAATAATTATTTAATTATTTTAATTGTAATATTTAAAAAAATAATATTAATTACATAGGTACATAGATAGAAAAAAAAGTATGTTGCTGCGCGCGGGTCGACAATATCGACACATATTCGGCTAGTCGTATTTTTGGAGCGGCGATACGGGAAAAGTAATTTAAGTCAACATTACATTAAATTAGAGGCAATTCATTAATAAATTGAAAAATTAAACATAATAGATAAAATAATTGCAAAATTATAATAAAATCAATTGATTAAAAAATTAAAAATTAAAAAATTAAAAATTAAAAATTAAAAAATTTTAAATTAAAAATGTTCAAGTTTCTGATTTTTTCCTTTGTATTTACCTAACTACCTATCTGTATGCCAAATTTGAACTTTCTAGGTCTTCTGGAACTGGGTTAGAATTTTGATCTATAGGTAAGTCAGTGATAAAAATGACGATTTTCGGACGTTAATATCTAAATAACGGTTTGAAGTGTGTTTATGAAATTTAGAGCACATATGTATCTCGTTAGTCTCAATATATGAGCCAAATTTGACATGTTTATGTGGAATAGTTTTTGAGTTATGAGGGGGTCAAAAGTGGCTCCAAATGGTTCGTGTAATATTACACACGGTGCTGCTCGCCAGTTCTGTTAGCTAGAACTTGGCTTGACACGCTACCGCGTGTCTAGATAATGCAATACAAATTAATATTGATGAGGACGTCTCCTGCTAATAATAATTAAATAATAAAAAGGTAATACAAAATAGTAAAATACACAAAATATAATATAGTATACGATAAATAGTAAGAAGATAGGACTTATCACTGCATCGAGTTGTCAACTGGAACGCGTTAGTACTCACACTACACATGGTCCTGACATGAACTATTTAGCCCCAGTGACTTTAAAGCAGAGTATTTTACGAAGGTGTGTGGAAGAATGTACTCCACTTCGAGTGATTTATGAAGAAGAGACATCAAGGTAGGTAGTAATTTTGTCTTTTCGTTTAACAATTATGAAGCGGCAGAAGCAGTACTTTTTACTTTTAAAAAAATGTTGCACATATTTATTGTTTTTTTATCTTACGCATCAACTGTTTAGAACACAAGGGTTAGAACATCGCCTAGAGTATACTTCTCTTTTGAGAACCATGGAGAGGACTAGAGCTGCAGCGCAACCTAAAATACCAGGTGATCTGATGGAATACGCAGGTAATCTGGTAGATGCTCGCTACGTTCATCTATTCAGAACTGCTAATGGACGAGCAATGTTCAGAGGGTTTGTCATGGGCCCTCCAGACGCTGGATCAGCAGTCGTTTGTATATCTCCATCCCTGGAAAAGTAATTAATTTTAACTGTCAAGAACATAATGTTAGAATGTAAATCTACTCCTCGGTATATTCAACATGTATCTTAATTTGAACAATTTTTAGCCTATTGACTTCTGCTCAAGAACTTCATATAGATGCCACGTTTAAAAGCAGGCCCCTTGTTCCACAAACAGAACAACTGTTGATAATTATGGCCATGTACATGGACCAGGTAAACTTTGTTTAAACGTTAATACATACCTAATGCTATATTTTAATACATTATACCAATTTTTTATAAACTAAATAGGTACCTAACTATTTTATTTATTTTAACAGGCATTTCCCGTTGCATACACATTAATGACCCGCAAAACTGAAACGGCGTACACTAGTGTATTGGACCATATTAAGACTTGTGTTCCGGGTATTAGTGCAAGTAAAATTGTCACTGACTATGAAGTAGGGTTGAGTAACGCATTGACCAACATTTTTTCCCAGAGTCAGATTACAGAAATGCTGGTTCCATATGGCCCAAGTAAGATTTCCTAAAAAATGTAACAATTTTAATTCTGTAAGATAAAATGTAGATATTTTGATTTGTGGAATTGTGCAGTTTAATGATTAAATAATATTAAAATTAACACAAGTTTCTTAAACACTAACTTTTATATAAATAGGCACTCGAAAAGAATGCAAGAGACTTTGGCATACGGAGACAAGTATACAGGACTGATAATGCACTGCATACTATGCTTCGTATGTCCAAAGCTCTGGCACTTTTGCCAGCAAACAGGATAGTTGAAGGCTTTGAAGCGGTGGCCAACGAGGCGAGGCTTTCACCCAATAGTGAGGTTGCTGAAAGTTCGTTACATATTTTAGAAATCAGTGGATGGAACGTGAGTTATTCTAAAAGAATTAGTTTTACTTACCTATCATTTTATTTTTAAAATTTGTTTAATAATTAAAACTGTTTAAATAGGTAGTACATATAAGATTATTAAGATAATTAGTAACATTTCAAAATTCAATACTTATAATAGCCATTTATTTTACAGATAGTAAATACTTCAATTTGCATATTTCAATAATATATTATGATACAAATTGAGTTTTAATATCTATTTAGTCACAATTTATTCTTTTAATGAATCCTTATAAATTAATGAATCTATTGAGATTACTATGTATCTAATTTTAAAAGTTAAATCATAAGTAATTAAATAAAATAAATCGTAACTTTGTTTTTTCTGTAAGTTTATGTCTTCATATTCAGTCAAACCAATTGCAGATTTTTTTAAACATAATTACAAAAATTAAACAGAATATTTATAACCCTACCTTAAGTAGTCTTTATCCGTAATAATATTAATTAACATTAGGTGTTG